GAAAAAAAAAAGAAGAAAAGATTTCAAAGAGAGAAAGAACCTCGAGAATTCTTCTAATCGTAGTAGTTCTTTGCTATATTTTTATCAGCAGTGGATACATCTGAGCACGTGGGTCGAAAGTCATGTGACAGTACTATGGAGTTTAGTGCAGTTTAGCACGAGCTTGCTTAACATATTCCAGGTCTCCCTGCAAACTACAGAAAGCTAAATTTGAGTAAAAATCAGTAAATTAAAATACTATTTTCTATATTTATGCCATGCTAATTCCCGAAAGAGAAACAGGGTCATTGGACAACAAAATTATGCTGAAGACAGACCACAAAAATTATTTTTGTCCAGACATTTTCCTCTAAACCTAAAATGTTTTTAATAAATAATACTGGTAAACAACGCAATATCTGAATCTTCATGAAGCAATCATACACATTAGCTGAAATTTCACACATAAGCTGATTTCCCCCCTCAAAATGTCTACATTTTATTTTTTTGAATTAATTTAGCCTACTTCTCAGTGACAGCATTTCTTTAACTCGGGTCGCACTAAATCAGTCTGAATGTCAGAATGGCGCTCTTATTATTGGGACAAAGAGAAGGGATGCATACTTCTATAACGTTGAATTGAATTTAGTTGCTAAGCAACTAGTGTATGGGAATCCATCCGCGAAATTTAAATCTTAGAGAGAGGGAATTGCGCGTTTTGCTGAATAGTCATCCCAAGAAAAAGTTGAAGGGATCACACTGTCGTTATCGCCCGCTTACTTCGTCCGTTTTATTTATGAGGCCTAGCTCAGAATAATTTCATCCCCAATATAATTAAGCTTAAATGAATAATGTTAGGAATATAACATAAAGTCATTTTATGACATGTTTATACCGTCTAAAGTTTACAGCATGAATTATATTATATACAGGCCTGTTTGTATAGTCTTGGGGGCATTGGCAATCCGCTGTGAGATCAAGTAGTCTGGCTTATTTTAATAAGCAAATCAGAAAATCGGCATAAGATGTCTGCGAGACTGATGAAATATAAAATAAAATAATAAAATATAAAAAAATAAGTAATAAAAATAATTCCATATTTAGGTCATCACATGTTTTAGAGAGAAATTGAGAAATTCAGTTATTGAGAAAAATATAAACTAAATGTTATAATATTTTGCTATTGCTAAACACCTCGACTGATCGAATGCTAAAAATCCAATAAAAAGGCATGCATATGCAAAATGTCTGTAAACACGTGTTTTCGTTTTCAGGGTTATGTACGAGGACTAGCCTACTTAGGCTATTATTTGAAAAAGATTATTTAGCAATATTTTACATAGATAGATAGATAGATAGATAGATAGATAGATGTAAGGTGTTTGCAAAAAGCAGACCAGTGTAACACTGAATAAAAATATGTCCAAAAAACATGATGGTCGGGTTGATAGAAGGCATGTGGATTTGACAGTCGGCGTGAACGCTATAAAACAGGTAGCCTACACTACACAAAAGCGGGTGACACAGTAAACACTCCACCTCCACAAGCGATCAACTTTTCTGTGCTTTCTCTCGTGAGATTTACTGAACGTTGCTATCTCTATTACGTGTCACAGAGACGCATTTCATCCTGCTAACAAAATGGTTTTACACTGAAGTAATTTACAGCAGTGACACTTTTGCTGCTTTGTCTAAGAGGTGAGTTAGCTAGATAGATAGATGTAAGGTGTTTGCAAAAAGCAGACCAGTGTAACACTGAATAAAAATATGTCCAAAAAACATGATGGTCGGGTTGATAGAAGGCATGTGGATTTGACAGTCGGCGTGAACGCTATAAAACAGGTAGCCTACACTACACAAAAGCGGGTGACACAGTAAACACTCCACCTCCACAAGCGATCAACTTTTCTGTGCTTTCTCTCGTGAGATTTACTGAACGTTGCTATCTCTATTACGTGTCACAGAGACGCATTTCATCCTGCTAACAAAATGGTTTTACACTGAAGTAATTTACAGCAGTGACACTTTTGCTGCTTTGTCTAAGAGGTGAGTTAGCTTAACAGAAATTCTAAAAGTTTAAGAAATGCAAAACTCCCGTTAGTGCTTTCTGTCGAGGCCTAAACGATTGCCACGTAACACTGATCTATTTTTATTTATTTATTTATTTGAGAAAAACGCATTGTGTGAAATGTTTATATGACGGCTGTATTTTTAATCAAACATCGCAATATTGTTGGCATAATAATAGAAAGGTTTGGTTTTCGAGTGTTATTTCTATTCTGCATGTCATAACACAAGGCTATTAATATTCAGCAGTCATCATTTTAAAATGCATTTGGCTAAATATTGCTCAAAGGGCATCCTAAAAAAACAAGAAACAGCTATACGATCTTAGGCACAACACACACTTTTGTTTCATTCTAACAAATTTATTGTTCTCGATCATCTCTTACGGAATCACTACTGAAATTAAATTACAATCAAATCATCACATCAAAATATACCCTTATTACCTACTGTCAAAGTCAGCTCGTGTAGATTTGTGCTCTTTTAAAAATGAGAATACAAAATTAAACAAAACAAATAAGGTCGACAACGAAAACGGGAAAACATTTTACACAAGTCTGGGGGAAATAAATAATAACTGTTTGGAATAGTTCGTATGTATCCCGAATAAAATATTAAAACAAAGCATTTTAATGAAAAATATTAAGTAAATAATTCCGATCAGCATCTGATCTAATGAATCTATATTGCCGGCTTTACATAGTCTTGTTTATTAAAACCTACCAAAGAATACTGCTCGGAAATGGCAGCACATGAAAACATCCACAGCACCAGCTCTGGCCCACTTGGCAACGGATGTTCGCACAGAAGATTTTCAAAGAGGTGCAGCTGCGTAATATTCAGTCTTTTCAAAAGTCATCTTTGATTTAAATTTGTCCTCAAAACTCCACGTAAGATTAAGTTCTTTACATTAAAAAAAGAAAAAAAAAATTAAAAGATGTGATCTTGGAGATCAGAAACCGAGGGCAGTCTTTTGTTGTTTTTGTAAGGATTGGAAGGCCAGAAAAAAAAATCCATTCCATATTTTTGGATAATATCAAACCATGCAGTCTTCTCTGCCAAGTTGGATGGAAGCGTCGTGGATGCCACTGTTCTTCGCATTGTTTCAGTTGAATTTCATCCTTTTGTTTGAGGTTTAATGTCCCATAACAACACACACAATTGCCTGCGTCTTTTGCCTCTCAAACAAGACATTGGTACAACACGGTAGGGGGGGCAAAGATTTTGTTGTTCATCGCTAATTTCTGTTATTTTTCAGTTGAAGTTAATGCGCCAATATTACCTGGTGGAACGAACTTGTAGTTGTCACCCTCTGGTCGCCCGGTTCGCTCGGCCCAGTTAAACTTGCATCTTTTAAGTAATCTACTAAAAAATGTCCCTGAAAGAAAGAGCAAACACAACCTTTTAGGTTAAGACAGTTAAGGGCCTGGAACAAGATTAGCGGGCGGTTTAGGGTTGGGAAGGAAGAGGGGTGATTTTTTTTCTTGTGAAAAAAATATATAACACATCTGCAGTCTCAATATTCCCTCACAATCACAGTATCAAAATGTTTTGCTATCTTGATGATAGTCTGTGTTTTATCAGATTAGTCATATATAAAATATTTTTTTTCTGTTCTATGTCTCACTGAACATTCGTTTGCAGTCCATGGAGGGGGGCGGTGTATCTGCACTCACATTGCCGACCTGAGAATATACATCCTCCGGCGTCTGCGGCACTCCTGGGGGCGTCATCCTTTTCTCTTTCTGTCTCCGATTGCAAAACCAAACTCTCACCACCTCCTTCTCCAGCTGCAAGTTTTCCGCTAGAGAGGTTATCTCTTGGGCCGAAGGCTTGGGACATTTCAAGAAGTGACTCTCCAACGCACCTTTGACGCTCACTTCGATGGAGGTGCGCTTCTTGCGCTTCCTGCCCTGAGCCGCTATCTTGTCGATGCTGGTGGGGCTGCCCGTGGAGGAGTCTGCCTCCTCTAGCCATTTGTTAAGCAACGGCTTCAGCTTGCACATGTTCTTAAAGCTGAGCTGCAGAGCTTCGAAGCGACAGATTGTGGTCTGCGAGAAGACGTTCCCGTACAGAGTGCCCAACGCCAAGCCCACGTCCGCTTGCGTGAAGCCCAGTTTGATCCGGCGTTGTTTGAACTGCTTGGCAAAGTGCTCTAAGTCGTCCGACGTCGGCGTGTCCTCGTCGGAGTGCGGGTCGTGGCTGTTCACTCCGTGGTGTGCTTGCTGGTGATGTTGATGCTGGTGGTGATGGTGGTGGTGGTGGCTGCTGTGATCGAGCTCTGGGGTGTCGCCACGCACCAGACCCGGGTGTACTAGGCTTTGGCTGCCCGGCGGACTGAGCATGCCGTTCACCGTGAAGCCTCCAGGCTGCGAGTATATGAGGGACTGCTGCTGCTGTTGGCTCCCAGTTAGAGAAGGGATGTGGGCAGCGGTTGTGCTACCCCAGGCACCCGCGTGAGTCTGGTGGGGACCTAAATGTGGGGGCCTGTGATGCAGCGCAGTCCCAGAGTGCAAATCGTCTCTCCCCGAGTTATTTTTCACGTCCTGCTGCTGCTGCGGGCTGCCTGTCATTCCAACGGGACTAGACGACCAAGGCGATCCGGCTTCAGCTGCGGCCACTGCGGCAGCCGCAGCCGCCGCTGCAGCGTGAGGCAAGGACGTCACCCACTGGTGAGCGTGGCTCAGCATATGTCCCCCGTTGCTCGCTGCCATTGCGCTCTGCATGAAATCGCTTTGTACCATTTTAACCGCTGGGTCTCCTCTGTACCCACCGGACACTGAGGTTACCGCAGCACTGACCTGCTGCATCCCACCTCCGGAGTCCGAGTGCACGATCGAGCCGGACGATAATATACTACTGCTGGGTAGATAAGGGTTGGAAGCCGCTGTGGCCATTCCGCTAACCTTATGAATATGTTTGCTGATCACCCCCTCCCTTTTGTAGAAACTTTTTTAATGCAGGCAAAGTTTGATCCGGCGTTGTTTGAACTGCTTGGCAAAGTGCTCTAAGTCGTCCGACGTCGGCGTGTCCTCGTCGGAGTGCGGGTCGTGGCTGTTCACTCCGTGGTGTGCTTGCTGGTGATGTTGATGCTGGTGGTGATGGTGGTGGTGGTGGCTGCTGTGATCGAGCTCTGGGGTGTCGCCACGCACCAGACCCGGGTGTACTAGGCTTTGGCTGCCCGGCGGACTGAGCATGCCGTTCACCGTGAAGCCTCCAGGCTGCGAGTATATGAGGGACTGCTGCTGCTGTTGGCTCCCAGTTAGAGAAGGGATGTGGGCAGCGGTTGTGCTACCCCAGGCACCCGCGTGAGTCTGGTGGGGACCTAAGTGTGGGGGTCTGTGATGCAGCGCAGTCCCAGAGTGCAAATCGTCTCTCCCCGAGTTATTTTTCACGTCCTGCTGCTGTTGCGGACTGCCTGTCATTCCAACGGGACTAGACGACCAATGCGATCCTGCTTCAGCTGCGGCCACTGCGGCAGCTGCAGCCGCCGCTGCAGCGTGAGGCAAGGACGTCACCCACTGGTGAGCGTGGCTCAGCATATGTCCCCCGTTGCTCGCTGCCATTGCGCTCTGCATGAAATCGCTTTGTACCATTTTAACCGCTGGGTCTCCTCTGTACCCACCGGACACTGAGGTTACCGCAGCACTGACCTGCTGCATCCCACCTCCGGAGTCCGAGTGCACGATCGAGCCGGACGATAATATACTACTGCTGGGTAGATAAGGGTTGGAAGCCGCTGTGGCCATTCCGCTAACCTTATGAATATGTTTGCAGATCACCCCCTCCCTTTTGCAGAAACTTTTTTAATGCAGGCAAATTATTTCTCATGAATTATTCAAATTTTAAAAGTCTGACTTGTGTTTTGGCAAACACCATCAACAAAAAAGCAAAGAGAAAGATATCGTAGGCGAGAGGACGAAATCCGTTTCTTGAATAATTTGTGTGTTCATATATTTCGAACATATGAATGATTGAAACGATAAATTCCACTTTTATGTCAGCGTTGAAAACCCCTCGGAAGTCAAACAGTCCTTCGATCTATATTTTCTTTTTAAATAGTCTGAAAACAAAAAAAAAAAGAAAAAAAAAATGAAAGATTAAAAATTGTTTCAAAACTTTGCCCCGCA